TGTAAAAACTTGTCCTGTTTGTCTTGTAACAGCAAAGGTCAAAAATGGGCTACCATCGATTTTCAAGGTGATTGCAGACATTTTGATCAGAGTAAAGAGGAAAACAATGACTGTAGATCTTAAATTAAAATCATTGGAAATGACCTTGGAGTTATGAGTTTTTTTTTTCAATATGTTGTTTGTTTTGCACATCTTTGTCTGAAACAGTGATGAAAACTGATTCCATGAATAATTTTAAGAGGTTGGACAAGTATTTGAGGATGTTAAACCTAACATGATTAAAGTTTTTAATTAAAGGGATAAATGGAGTGGACACAACTGGACCGAATGCCTTGAAGGTTCTGTGCAGTTTCGTCTTTGAGGACCACATACTGAGTAAAGTATCTTTTGAAATTACGAATGTTTCAACACAAGTTATGTTTTGCATCAGTGAAATGATATGGTCAAGGGAAAATGCATGAAGATATTCTAAAAAAAAATTGAAAATTTCAAAATATGGAGGAGCGGCAAAGAGTCCTTGCATTACGTTTTTCTCTTCAAAGTGTCTCATAAAAATGAAGACATTCAAAATGATCTACAATAGATCACAAGTAAGTAACATCATTTTGGATTATCTTTTTTCTGTGACTGGAGATTTTTTTTTGTCCTTGCGTATTTTGTTTCGTCCCTCTTTCTTATCTATGGCTAAGAGACGGCGTGAAATCCAGTCGTAGATTCATTTTGATGAAGGTTTGCATTTTGATAGTGTCTTTTACAATCCAAGGGCATTTCAAAGTGTTTTCCAGCCAATGAACTCGCTGTTGTAATGTAAGGAATGCAGTAGCAAGAGTGCACATAAAAGTTTGCACGGCCAGTAAGAAGATTAAACATGTGATATGATCTGCCTTTACTGAGTTCGTTGAATAAAAGGTAAAGTCACCATAGCCCCACTGAATCATAAGCTGTTGTCTCTGCATTGCAAACCAGCTGTTCAGCCAACTGAGCAAGGGGCGTTCACAGTGCAAAGTGAAGCCAACAGCATGGGTTCATTTCCCACACCAAATGAGGTCAACGTGAAGGATTATTCTTATTAACCTGTTCCCCCGCCTGTCATCTCTCTCTAATGAGAGAGTAGCCCTGATGTATATTAACCATGTAACAATCGGATGTAGGTGCCAGTGAGTAATTTGGTGACCTGTATAAAGGAGTTCTCTGTTTTAATGAGTAGATATGCTCTTGAAACTTATTAAAAACATACGTTTAAACAGGAAAACTGACTATTGGGAAATGTGCTCTCAACCCCACTACATAGCATATCGCGAAATAAAACGTATTAAATAAATCTACGTTTCCAGTAAAAGTACCAAAGATTCAAATTTTGTTCATTTGCCTCATTACTCCAAAATCTACAAAATACATTGCCAAGATATAAACAGTTTGGTCTTTTTCCCTATACTCGCCGGCATGACTTTTTTTCATTCCTCAATGGCCAGGTTTGCCGTGCTAATTTTCCTTCTGATCGTGGTCCCAAGCCTAAGCAAACAGTATGTTCCAATAACGAGGGTGGGGAGAACAAAACCTAATCCAAAAGTTCGAAAGAATGGATAGCACCTTTTCATTGATCCATCTAACCAGTAACTGTGGAGACATTTGCACACATAAACCGTACATGTAATGAAGAAGTCACGAAGAGGATTGGTGAGAGCAAAACGGTGGACATGAACTGTCTGGGCTTCAGTAAAGTGTTCAACAATGTTCTTCATGGTAGACTCATTAGCAAGATTAGATCACATGGAATAGAGGGAGAACTAGCCATTTGGAAGCACAACTGGCTCCAAGGTAGTAGTTTTTTTTTTCAAAAAATTAATTCACAGGATGAGGGTGTCGCTGGCTAAGCAGCATTCATTGTCTATCCCTAATTGCCCAGAGGGCAGTTCAGAGTCAACGACATTGCTGTGGATCTGGAGACACAAGTAGGCCAGACCAGGTAAGATTGGCAGTTTCCTTCCCTATAGGACATTAGTGAAACAAATTGGTTTTTCCCACAATCGATCCATGGTTATCATTAGATTCTTAATTCCAGATATTTTATTGAATTCAAATTCCACCATCTGCCATGGCAGGATTTGAACTCGGATCCCCAGAACGTTATCTGGGTCGCAAGATAATTCCACGAGGCCATAGCCTCCCGCAACCATTAGGTTAGGGTGGAGTGTTGCTTTTCAGACTGTGACTAGCGGTGTGCCACAACGATCAGTGCTCGTCTATAGCTTTTTTTTGCTATTTAGTAAATGATTTGGATGTGAACATGGGAAGTATGGTTAGCATGTTTGCAGATGACACCAAAACTGGAAGTGTAGTGGACAGCGAAGAAGTTTACCTCAGAGTACAATGGGTCTTTGATCAGATGAGCCAATGGGCCAAGGAGTGGTAGATGGAGTTTAATTCAGATAGTTTTGAAGTGCTGCATTTTAGAACGGCAAATCAGGGCGGGACTTATACACTTAATAGTAAGGTCCTGGGGAGTGTTGCTGAATAAAGAGACCTTGGAGTGCAGGTTCATAGTTCCTTGAAAGTGGAGTTACAGGTAGACAGGAGAGTGAAGAAAGTGTTTGGTATGCTTGCCTTTACTGGTCAGTGCATTAGGTATAGGAGTTGGGTCACCATGTTGCAACTGTACAAGACATTGGTTAGGCCACTTTTGGAATACTGCGTGCAACTCTGGACTCCCCGCTATAGGAAGGATGCTGTGAAACTTGAAAGGGTTCAGAAAAGATTTATAAGGATGTTGCCAGGGTTGGAGGGTTTGAACTATAGAGAGAGGCTGAATAGATTGGGGCTATTTTCCCTGGATCATTGGAGGCTGAGGAGTGACCTTATAGAGGTTTAAAAAATCATGAGGGGCGTGGAAAGTGTGAATAGCCAAGGTCTTTTCCCCAGTGTGTGGGAATCCAAAACTAGGGGGTGTAGGTTTAAGGTGACAGGGGAAAAATTTTAAAGGGACCCAACGGGTAGCATTTTCCCACAGAGTGTGGTGCATGCATGGAATGAGCTGCCACAGGAAGTGGTGGAGACATCTAAAAGGCATTTAGATTGTTATCTGAATAGGAATGGTTTTGAGGGATATGGACCAAATGTTAATATATGGGACTAGGTTATTTTAGCATATTTGGTCGATATGAACGAGTTGGACGAAAGAGTCTGTTTCCATGCTGTACACCTCTATGGCTGTTTGACCAGGTTCTGTTTTCTGAGCACTACCAAGAGCCAATGTTCCAATACATGTCAAGCAAGCTTTAAAAAATACCACTGTAAATCTATACAATGCTTGGAATAGGTTTCCTACAAATTAGTCAGGTTGATGATAACTTTTCTATCCAGCTGCATCCTATTGAGCAAGCACAATGCTGAAAGGGAAGGAAACAAAATGAAGCAAAACCTGCCTTCTCTATCAAAATATCTGGTAGAACATTTTGATATGATGGTGGAAAATTGACCTGTTGTTACATCAAGACACAACTGCATCAATTCACAACAGAACTATCTCATTTGATAGTCAAATTAATATGTGAAAATCGGACTGTTACCATATTTTGCGACTGACCCATCATGCAGCTCTATGACTGCGCTGCAGGTATTAAATGTCGGTCAAGAATGCAGCAATGAATATTGTAGTTCAGAATTCTGTTTTAGTTGCAAACAGTTAGTGATACGTAATTTCCAACGTCACTTTACTTATGGGGCTTATTTAAGTAGATTTTATGTCCATAAGCTTCCATTTATATACAGTTCTTCACACGTCTTCAAACCCTCATTTAATAATCTCCCTCTGTCACATTTCAACAACTGTTGCCAAGAGGTTTCTGGAAGATTTTTGTTTTTACTAATCAAACATGCATAATGAAAAAAAAGTATAACTATTTCTGTATTTTAATTCAGAGTATGTATTATTTTAGTAAATGCTAATATGCAACACAACACTACATTAAAAGGGGGTTGGAAGAAGGCATGCAAAATTGCTAAATACAAAATACATTTAAATTAAGCCTAGTGCTTGTGGATTCCATGCAGAAAGAAGTTCAGAGATATACCTCCTTCTGCAAAAATGAAATCATGAGAAAGAATGCAAAAAGGAGGATGGGTGATGTGTTCCAACGATGAGATATTGAGAAGAGTGAGTGGAAGGTTGGAGATGGCACTAAAAACTGTGAAACTGACCTTGAACCTAATCTCTATGTGTTCTTTTCACTGAACTTAAATTGTTACACAGGACGCATAGAATTGCAATTCCATAAGTCGTAGATGAATTCCATTGAAGATCGCAATTAACTGGGAGAATGGAGGAAAGACCTTGACGGTCCAGTCAATCTCAATGTTCGAGCTATTTCAGGCGGAAGGGTGTGAGTAAATTAATTTTCCTCCGGTTAAGCAGGATGCCGAGTGATTTTACTCACCGTGTCTTATATGCGTTATGCAAAAATCGCCAGATGTATCATGCCAAAAACGTTAGAGCACGAGCATGACAGGGAATTAGTAAGTTCAGCAAGTTGAACATGATACCAAATGAATTCCTTGTTTAGACTTGAGAAGTTTTGGAAGATTTGCAATTAGCTCTGGCAAAGAAGGGGCTGTTTCAAGGCAGGAAGGTTGAAACTTACTTCGCCGACCGAGAGGAAATGTACGGTGCTTCTGGTTCCCTGGTGAACTGAATATCAAATTACACTAATTTTCATTTCCATTAATTTGACTCGAATGGCAATTTAACAGATTCAGCGAGAGTTAGAGTGCTTCGTCATTATTGTCGAGGTTTCCCCCTCGATGTTTACTTTAGTTTTCCAGACAGTTTAAGCTTGTTTTGCCTGTCAGAAATACACCGCGCTTACATGAAAATAAGGTAAGTGTGACACTGACATAACAGAGTTACCATTCCCTAGGATCTGTGAAACCAGACATTCCTGAGGTAGGCAACCTCACTGCCTGTAACATCTAAAAGTTTAACATCAGCATGATTGGGATGCATTTCAACAATAATAATCTATTCCCTCTGTTTCCGAGGATGCTTTTGGCGGCCTATGTGTTTTGACGTAATTGGTCTCAAGTCTATCTGATTGAGTGATCAAGTGTTTTCTTGTGTTTTCTTCTGGTTTTAACAAAATAATATAACATTTTGGAGTAAATATGCAGATGAGCAACCCAAAGCTCGATGTTAAAATTGCAAACACTTCCACGGCCACTGTATATTTCCCATGGGTGCTTACATAAGCAGGGACAAAAGTTAACCACACAGCAAAGAAAATGAGCATACTAAATGTTATAAACTTAGCTTCATTGAATTTGTCTGGTAACGCTCGGGCCAAGAAAGCTAAAATTAAACATAAACAAGCCAAGAGCCCAATGTAACCAAACACACAGCAGAAAGCAACTGGAGATCCTAAGTCGCATTCAAGGATAATCTTTGCACTTTGATATTTGGTGTTTTTAGCTGGGATTGGGGGAGAGATCACCAACCAGAACACGCATATTATAATTTGAATCAATGTAGAGAAAAAGACAGTTGACCTTTGCTGTTTGGGTCCGAACCATTTCATAATATTACTGCCGGGCAGAGTTGCTTTAAATACCATTAGGACTACCAGGGTTTTACTAAGAATACAAGAAATACATAAAGCAAAACTAACTCCAAACACAGTGTGCCGCACCATGCATGACCATGGTGATGGCTGTCCAATGAATGCAATGGAGCACAGAAAGCACAGTATTAATGAGATTAGTAGAAGAAAGCTTAGTTCCGAATTGTTGGCCCTGACAATGGGAGTATTTATGAAATTTAAGAATACAGCTGCCACAGCCCCTGTGACACAAGCTCCAAGTAGTGAAATGATCATCAGTGTTATTCCAATTCCATCCTGAAAGGAAAGATATTCATTTTCCTTTGCAATACATTCATTTCTTTCGTCGTTTGACCAGTGATCTAATGAACACTTCAAGCATTCAATAGAATCTGCAGAGGATGATATAAAAAAACGCCATTAGAAAGGTTGTTACTTTTCGAATGATCCACATAATTGTGTCACAAGTCTAGAACAGTTTTAAAGATAGATCGGTCGTGGATTCGCCATGAATTCCAAATACTTATCAAGCTTTCCTTGAAGCTCAATTGAAAACAAAGATCGGGCAGTATAATGACCTCACGAATTGCTACCTCCGGTTTTGTGCCCGATAAACTTCAATAGTTCAACTATTTACAACTAAGGCTGCAAAAGGCTTTGATCAGACTGCATTTGGAATATTATGAGTAGTTTTGGACTCGTATCTGACAAAGGATATGCTGACCTGTGAAGGGGTCCAGAAGACGTTCACAAGAATGATCCCAGAAATAAAGGGTTTGCCACATGAAGAGCGATTGAAGATTCTGGATCTGTACCTAACGGAGTTAAGAAGGATGAGGGGCGGGGATCTCGTTGAAACTTACGGAATACTGGAAGACCTGGATAAAGTGAATCTGGAGAAGATGTTTTCGCTAGTATGAGAGACTAAGACCCAACAGCACAGTCTCGGAGTGAGGGGAGGACCCTTTGGAATGAAGATGAGGAGAAATTTCTTCAGTTAGAGGCTGTTGAACCTGTGGGACTGGATGCCGTAAAGGGCTGCGAAGACCAAATCATTGAGTGTATTTAAGACAGAGTTTCTTGACTAGTAAGGGGATCAACGGTTATGGGGAGATATAGGAAAATGGGATTGAGAACCACATCACCCATGATTGAATGGCGGAGCAAACCCAGTGGGCCGAATTTCCTAATTCTCGTCCTATATTTATGGTCTTATGGTAGTAAAATTTGAAATTTCTGCCGGGGTGTTTGCATTTTGGGGTGGCCATCATTGTTAACAGCGGCACTTATTTCATTCGCATTAAACAATGTGAAGCGCAATTGAGTATTTCTATAATGGATCCATAAGACCAGTTCAGGCGAGCCTGCTTCGTGTAAAGCAATCTTTGGCATCGCTTTTATTGCTCTCTATTATCTGTGTATAGTGTACAGCGCTTCCTGCACCTTATTTACAAGCCGCCTATTATCTGTGCGTAAACCTATGAACGGTGTCATCTGACCTAAAGACAGGAAGTTTGGAAGGATGTTTCCTCAGAGTCTTACCAGCGGGTAGAGGGAACGCAACAGGCGATGAATGTTCTTGCTCCAACAGGGAACACTACGAATTCTGACCTAACAGGTGCCCTAGCTTTATATGGAAGGGCACTTGTATCTGTAGACTAGTTTCAATTCAGCAAAACGTCGCAACAGATTCCTTGATAACAAGGTATAGAGCCGGATGAACACAGCAGGCCAAGCAGCATCAGAGGAGCAGGAAGGCTGACGTTTCGGGCCTAGACCCTTCTTCAGAAACAGATTCCTTACTGATTCCCCAGAGATAATGCAATTGAAACCCCAGTTACATTTCATACTCCTGATTTAAATAAATTTCAGATGCTTCTTCCTATTTCTGGCCGGCCAGTTTTTTTTTTTTTTTTCTGTAAGAATGGGCAGACAGGGCCTTATTTCAATATCATATCTTCAAATTAGATCTTCAATCCTCTGTAATGCCCTGAAGGATCAGTTTCTACCGTCTTTTCATAGACTGAAATGGACTTTCATCCACAGATTTTGCAATCAGATGGAGTAATGAGCCATTACTAAGAGCAATGGTCTGAATTTTCATCAGTTCCATTTCTTTATATTAGTTCTAAGTGCCTACATATAGATTTAAGAATCGAGCCTAATTGAGATTGTCATGACAACTATGTGAAGTTAAAATTTGCGCACAAAAAGTCCCATTATTTTCAAACTCACAACTGTACAATTCTCGACTAGATGAAATTTTAATGAGGATCATGTCTTGGGTCACATCCATGAAAATAACTAGAGAAGATAACAAGGGAGCAAAAAATTATGGTGATTCAGACAGATGAAAAGATCCAACAAAAATGGATATTTCCCAAAAGCTATGCCAACGTCTGTAATATTGATTATTGTATATTTATGATGGTAATCATTGCATTGCAATGTTGACAGAGTTAATCAAATGTCCTGTCCCAAACTTTCATTACGGAAAATTGAGCTCAAAGCATGTAAATTCTCACTCACAAGTACCTGGTTAAGTCATAATCTTAATGCTAATGAGACTTTTTTTTCGCTTTATCTTAAAGGGATTGAAATCGAATATTCAGTCAAAATTGCAAGTGGCTTGCATTTGATTCAAATTTACATTGCTCTACTTTGGTTGGTACAACGCAATTTACAGCAGCCTGAAATCTTGAAGTAAAACACCAACATACCCAAACATTTCTCGGGTGTCTATGATGGGAAATGCAGGGATAGAGAAGGGTGTTGAGGTAGAGGGTGGAGCTGGGTCTGGGTAGGATGCTGCTCGGAGGGTCGGTGTGGACTTGATGGTCCGAATGGCCTGCTTCCACACTGTAGGGACTCTATGATTTAATCTATTGCACGGCACGTTTATGGTCCAAAGCTGCATAACTCAATGTTGATGAATTTTAAAGGATACAATCCTCATTGCTTATGCAATGTGTTTAATACTATAGAATAAGGAGAGTTGGTCAATGATACGTACCTGTTTTGTTACTAATTTCCCCATCAGCACATGGTAAACAATCAAAGCAGCAAATAGGCTCACCCCTCCGAGTTGCTTTTCTTGTACCTGTTGGACAGTTGTCACTACAAACTGACACTGGTACCTGCAGAGGAGTGAAACTGCAGTTATTGCTGTTTTGATCCATTCACATAACGGTCGAAGTATCAACGGTTGTTTCAGTACATGATTTCATCGCGATTTACTAAGTATTTTCCTTGGATATTTTCCCTGGAACGTCGGTGGCTGAGGAGGTGACATTAAAGAAGTTTATAAAATCATGAGGAGCATAGATAAGTTGAATAGCCAAGTGCTTTTTCGCTCCAGGGTAGGGAAGTCCAAAACTAGAGGGGAAAGATTCAAAAGGGACCTAAGGGGCAGCATTTTCATGTCGATGGTGGCGCGTGTATGGAATGAGCTGCCAGAGAAGGTGGTGAAGGCTGGTGCAATTACAATATTTGAAAGGCATCTGGATTGGTACATGCATAGGAAGGGTTTAGAGGGATATGAGCCAAATGCTGGCAAATGGGACCAGATTAATTTAGGATATGTGGTCGGCATGAACAAGTTGGACTGAAGCGTCTACTTCCATGCCGCACATCTCTATGACTTTGCTCTACAGCATAAATTATCTGTAGAATAGGGATCCAAATGAATAGTATTGACTCTAATTAATTAAATCTTGTGGACAGATTCTGTATTGTCTTCTGAAAAAATATGGATAAGGTATATAATTGATCATTTTGATTCCTGGGAACAGCATTCAAATATATGTGGTGAAAGGTGGATAGTGCAATGCTCCAACGTCTGTTGTAATAAGTTTAAGCTGTAATGTAATACATTTTGATTCCAATATAATACGTGAATGAAAACCAACATGCAAGTTAAGGCATTTGAAACTCAGAGGACGAGAAGAATCCACAGAGTAGAACCTTGCAGGATGAGAGGAATTTCCTTGCTGAATGCTAAAGTAAGGATTAGTTTTTTTTTAACGGGATCATAGACTACATCTGAAGTAAAATATATTGAAGAATGTGCACCTGATATATTCCCGAGGGTTTAGGGATGGATGCTATCTCTTTTAAATGTTCGACTGTCGACCAGATAATTGAGGAAATATAATGATTGTAAGATGTTAAGCAAAAATAAAAATTTTAAGAGTAAAAGAAAGCTAAGAACGGTGGATGCTGGAAATCAGAAACTAATTCAGAAATTGCTGGAAAATCTCACCAGATCTGTCAGCATCTGTGGAGAGAAATCAGTGTTAACGCTTCCGGTCCAGTGACTCTTAAGAATGTACGTTTGGGCAGTAATTGATTTTTAAATTAATGTACAGTTATTACAATGCATTCATTAATTACCATATTACTTTCTCTGCAACTGACAGCAAGTAGAAAATGGCTCATTGTTCCAAAATAATTTGTTTACTAAGTTTAATGACAGAACGCAATTCTGGGATAGATTGCAAGTTGCATTTCCCGTTGCAAAGGCAATATATCATTCACCAATTATCCTTTTGATGTTGGTGAGTGCGATGATAATTGTCTTGTTCAGCACCACTAAATCCATTACTATCGATGGAATGAAACAAAATTCATCTTATCTCATTCGTTTCAGTCTGCAGAGATTAAGAAACTAGCAAAAATCTCACACGTATCTTCAAAAGACACTTACCAAATGTTGATGTCCATGCCAGACGATGGTGCGTTCAGCCAGCACAAGCTTTTCTCCTTTTGGTAACGCTGCATCATAAAAACCAACCTTTACAAAGTTAACGGATCCATCAGCACTCCTTTGCCAGTTTATTAGGTCATATGAAGCTATTGGATCTCCATTACTATCAAAGCTTACTTCTTCACCAAATTTATTCATAAACTTGACTTCTTTCAGATAATGCAAAAGCTTAACAAAGACAAAACATGAAATATTTTTCAATTACGTAATTACTTTTAAAAATTGAATGAGTGATCATCAGTAGGACAAAGCGGTGTAGTAATGGTGATGTAACTGGCCAGCTTTCCAGATCATTGCGCTAATATTTATGGGCATAAATTTGTATGATACCATTGCAGACGTGAAATTTGGATTAGTTTCTCTTTTTAAATAAAAATCCGCACTTTAATGGTACCTGAATACAGACCATACGTTAATTGCCCTAAAAATTTCTTTGTTTTACTAATGTCTGCAGCCTTCACCTGGTCTGATCTACACGTGGATCCAAAGGTTCTTAATTGCTGTCTGTGTCATCATGGATAACTGTTAAGGGCGTGTGCTACAGCATAAACCTTTTTGTAAGCATTGTATGAAACCCTTAACCAGCGATACCCTGTAACTCATGAATAAATAATGAATATTATAAAACTGAAGAATTCTTCCAATGGCTTTATGTAACTATGTCAGGCACTGGTGCTACTTGTTTGTGAAAATTTCCTATTTGTTATCATGTCGTGGAAAAGTTCTAAAAGAACTATATAATTTAATAAGATTAACACTGCAGCAGATGATACCTTCAGTTATCATTTCTAAAGGTGTAACTAGTATGCTCCAGTGTTTAAACACACACCAGAAAGGGAATGAAGTGTTATAGAGAAAAGGCGAGAAAGTAGATTTGGAGATTATCAGATCATCCATGAATGACGGAGCAGACTCGATTGGAATTTCTACTTCAGAACTAGAACATTTGGCAGATTTAATTTTGCTTATTCTCAGAATAGAATACAAAATGCCTCTTACCTGCCATGGTATGATGTTTGATCTTTGACCGCATGTTTTGTTTATAAACGGCCCTTTTCCATTTATGCAGGATTGTAAATTATGAAGGGCGTGTGCTATAGCATAAACTGCTTTATAAACATTGTATGAAACCCTTAGCTGTGACACGTCGGTGTATATGTTCTTAGTTAAATTCAGATCCTCTGATCCTGTGCACGGTTTGCTAGAAAATTGCCACTCGTTTTGCGGAGAGGTTCTGTCACGTGGCCTTACTTCACAACCGAAAACCTCTTGCCAAAATTCCTCAACAAACGGATTCTCTGGTGATGTGGAAGGATGAAATTTAACTAAAAAATCTGAGTCCTGGAATCTCTGCTTTCCTGATTCCAAAACCAATTGTGCCAGTCAAAATGTCCTGACTTTCTTTTGACCAAATCAGGGACGAGGTGACCCAGGCTTCGCTTGCTATCAATTGCAAATCGGTGATGTTTCTCACTTTGAGTTCTTGAATTAAAGCGAAAGTGTAGCTTTCTCCGCAAAACAATATGATCACTTTTGCAGAGGATTGTGTGATCGTATCTGCAATCTTTGACATTCTGTCACTAGCACCACCCGAAGAGATGAATTCCGTATAGGCGACGCAGACATTAGAGTTCCAGATTTCCTCAGCGAATGATTGAATAGCAAAGCGGCCGTAGTCGCTGTCAACTGCAACAATGCCAATCCAGCTCCATTTGAAATAATTTATGAGTCTCAGCAAAGCTTTGATTTGAACGGCATCACTGGGTACTGTTCTGAAAAATGTTGGGAACTCGTTTTTGTCACTTAGACAGGCACAGGAAGCAAAGTAACTGATCTGTAATGTTAATAGACATTATTGAATTTAATAACTTCAGCAAGGAAGATATTGTTTATGTTTTATCCTACGTCTCCACTGGAACTGAATTTAAACAAACAAAACGGCGATATGAGACACCAATTCTTCCTCCACCATGAATTCCTCATGATCAGGTGCCTACAGAAGACATTGATTTCCTGTTGTCGTCTTCGTTATTTTCCTATATGTCTTAAATTTATCTCATTTTATTCTCAAGATTTCTGCCAATGAGAACAATCTCTCACTATACTATCTGGAGTCCTTGACATTTCAAAAGCATCCAACGCATCTTCTTTCAGCCTTTACTTCGCTAAGGAAAACAAACACAGTTGCCTCAGTCTAACGCAACTAAAGCCCCCCAGCCTTAAAACCACACTGTTAAATGGATTCGTACCTTCTCCAATTCTGCTCTTTCCCATTCCTACTCCCAAAGTCTGGTATCTAAGATCGGACGCAATACCCCAGTTGAGGCTGAACCAGTTCTTCACAAGCATCTGCCGTAATATCCTGGCTTTTGGACTCTGTTTCTATTTACAAAACCCAGGATCCCATATGCCACGTTAACCGGCCTTCAGAAACTCTCGTGGTACATTCAAGGATTTGTGCAGATCTGCCTCAATCATACTAAACTGGTTAAAGTATAATTTCAGATACTTTGTGTGTGAGAGAAATTTGAGCTCATTAATAATGTCAGAACGATCTCCTAGCATACAATTTAAAGAACAAAAGAAACTGCTGAAGAAACTCAACACGTATGGCAGCAGAATTCAGAGTCAATCTTATAGTCCAGTGAGTTTTCATCAGAATGCCATTTCAAGAAACTTGCAAATGGGGTCTTGCGTTTTTTCTAGTTCCTTTGCTCGTCCCGTTACTTCAGTTTATACAGTGATACAGCAATTTTTAACAGTGCAAGTATTACAAACACGACCAGTAAAACAGGGGCAGAGCTGGTGTACGTGGCTTTTTGGAAATTAGATCCTGAATTATCCTGGTCACTAGCTGCAATGTTGGAAATTCTTCGTGATTAACCCTGATTTCAAGGAATGGTGGCCGGAGGTGGCAGCCCCCAATAAAATGAGCGGCTCTTCATTTGTGTTCTCATTCAATCACTTGTCGGCCAAAGTGGGAAACTGCCTTCATTTACTCATATTAATTTTTCCAAGAATTCAGCAGGATCAATGAAGGAGGTAGGGACATCCCTGAGGTTGCCTGATATTGCATCATTCAAAAAAAGGAGGGGAAAGATTTAGACACAACATCACGTGCACCCAAACGATAGCAAGGAAGGTCAAATATCAACGAGGGTAAGTGGCCAGCGAATATTAAATAGAAATAGCAACACAGATTAAATTGGTTAGGCCACAGGTTTAGTGTTATGCATCGCCATTTTGTTTCATTGCAGCGATGATATGTGAGGTACGGCAAAGTACATCAAAGTTCTTTAAAATGAACTAGGATTAACAGGTAGTCAGTCTTTCGATTGACAAAGGGTCTCACTAAAGTTTTCTCGGTGTAAAAGTCTTGGAGGTCAAAAGATAAATATCAAAGATTGACTAGATTAGTTGGCAGAATCGTGGCAACGTAACTCAGATCAAAACTGAACTTGGGGGGAAAACCAATAGAACTGCTGATGCCATAACTCAGATACAAAAATAGATATCTCGGGAAAAGCACAGCAGGTCTGGCAGTATCTGTGGACAGAAATCAGAGTTAACGTGTGGATTCGCGTGACCCTCCCTCGGAACGAAGGGTTGCTAGGTAGCTATTTTCCAAACTACCGTCAGTTCCGAGGAAGGGTCACTCGACCCGAAATGTTAAGTCTGCTTTCTCTCCACAGATGCTGCCAGACCTGCTGAGTTTTTCCAGCAAGTTCTGTTTTTTTTTTATTTCTGATAGATAAAAAGAATGTGCGGATGATAAAGAATCGTTTTCTTGTATTTGCCTGAGGCTCGTTACGTAATATATGTTCCATAAATTCACAATTGGTTAACAATTCGAAATTTAAAAAATAAGATAATTGAATAGTGGACCAGTGCAGGAAGTTGGATTAGAGTAATTAAAACTAAGATCAGTTAAAGAACCAACATCAGCAAAGGTCCAGTGGACGGAAATTTCCCCGCATCTTACCAAAGGAATTCCAAAGACCTCCAAAATTCTTGAAACTGCAGCAGATCGCGAAGATCCCGCATCTCCTATTACAATAGGCACTGAGGAAAAACCAAAACAGGTGTCATGTGAAGAAGCTCTTTCATCTCCATTCAGTATCTGGAAAGTTCCTTTAAGTGCTTCGGAGGAGACGTCACAACTATCCAGAATCTTGTAACCTAACGTCGTGTTCGGAAGAAGATCTGGGTCCCTGTTTATTTCGTCAACGGTAAAGATCATTGTTTGGACCCATCGCAAGCCACGGAGGTTGAACCTAGAACACAGAATTACTTATCGTTAGGCTGAAGCTTAATTCAGTTGCTTTAGAGCCATTCATATTAATCGTAAATGACCGCAGGTTTCAGATCGAAAAGAGATCTTTTTGAGTGTTAATGAAACTTCATTTTTTAAAAAATTTTGATATTTCCAGCAAGATCATAAGCGAAGTCCTATTATTATTCAAGGTGCATATTCAATTTTATTTAACCTCAAATCCATATTCGAAGCAGGTCTGGCATTTAAATTTAAGTTAATCATGGACGTTTGCTTTCAGAATTGAGATGCTACCAAAGCATAAGTAGAAATATTAGATGCAAGGTCAAGTGCAAAAATGACACAAAATGATTCTTTTTTTTACCTTTTGGGAAAAATCGCTTCATTTAGGAAAAAACTAACCGAATATTTTGTCAATACAGATTGTTTCTTCTCAACTTTTCTGTGAGTCAACGCTGAAATATCCTGAAGCTTCTTTAAATCATCTGGAATTAATTCCCTAGGAAACCGGCTTAGGTAGCTCAATGGGTAACTGTTTCCCGCGGGATTTTGCCGAGATTGAGCAGATCACTGAGAAAAACCCCGCATATAAATTCTATATATCAGATTCCTAGCTGATGTGAACATTGTCATCATTTAAGGTTCTGCATTAAAAACACTCCAGGATAAGGTATGCGAGTTCAAACATCTGAAATTCTAAAGGCCCTCTGGTCCAATGTAAACAAAAGGTATTTTTATGACAATAATCGTTGGATAATTTTAGAGAAGGGAAACATTACCCATTTTTGTGTATCTTTAAACAGTTAACAACGGATTAGGATGAAGCTGCTTGAGGTCGCACTGGTGAACCCTCGCGATAGAATGATCAACTGTCGGAACAACTATGGTTGGAAGTGCCGGGGTAAGATAAGCTGTGATGGATTGGCCGTCCTGAAGAACGGTCTCTTTCCATTGTGTTCCAACAGGTAAAATAGAGATGATGCAAATATTCAGACGTTAGATTATTTATTCTTCCAGAGAACTTTTGGCCCACTGAAGCTCCCTTTGCTTGAATTTTGATCTAAGTTGTATAAATTTGATAGCCGACTGATCATATATCGTTTATGTTACAACTTTAATTTGATTTTTTTTTGTTTATAATCAATTGACCTATACTTCTGGAGAATTTGCAACTCCGGTTGTAATGCTGCACACACAAAAAAAATCACACTGAATATGCAGTTCAACGTCGGCGTGTTTGGAAAACAAGCTATGAAATGATCCTATGAATTATGGGAAGTAGGCCCAATTGGAAAATAAATGGGTCTCAGGTCCGATTTATCAATTCCACACTCCTACATAAAGTAACCCTGTACTGCTGCTTTAAGACTAGACCATTGACACTGACGAATAATCCAAAGAAAGTGAGTTAATTCTCCAGAGCAGTTGCTGTGTTTGAAATTAGGTTAGATAAAACCTGGTTTCTGTAACTGTGGCAATGAAGCTGTTGAAATGCTGAAGAGACAGAAACGTTCGCCAGTGTCTTCTTGTCGACTGCAACCATATTTCCTAATCTGATCTGTGCTACTCTGAATTCTATTCTCATCCCAAAGTTACCTGGCAAGCGACTTCATGGTAAAACAAAACACCCACGGTTGTTCAAGAAGTAGACCCGTTATTACCTGTAGCTGTCCAAGAAACATGATATGTACTGGTTTTAATAGCTCGCCCACATCTTGAAAAGAAATGGTAAATAAAGGTGAGCACCTGCTGCAGTTAATTTTGCTTTCAATAGCATCGAAGGGTTGTTTTTGTTCATGTTTCAGTTTCATAACATTGTTATACTCCACAGGGAGCAACACATTACAGGCAATAAACACAGGATCGTTGTTCATTCTAAGTCATACCATTGCTCATTCCATATACCACAAGCACCGCCATTATTTTCTTTCGATACTATTGCGGCTCACGCTCCACCTCAAACATGGACTGGTTACTCACTCCCAGTAGCGCTTTGGTTTTGCACTAGCACACGCCCCTCCACGCTCAACTCCAAAGACTTCAGCACTAAATTTAATTTGGTACTTCTGATATAGGTGAGAGTAATATCTGTACTCTCGGAAATGACACCAATCGAATGAGATCCAAAACCGTGGAGGAAAAAGATTCTCCAGCTAGAATTCTAATCAAAGCAGCGAAGTCACGTCAAATGATCTGACCAATATTTGGCCCTGAACCACCAATACTAAAACAGATCATCCAGTCATTTTCACCGAGCTGCTGCTGGGAAGTTTGTGCGCACAAGCCTTTGCCACATTTTCTACATCATACTTGGGAATACACTTCCGTAGTATCCGGACCTACCCCTCACCTCCTATCCCTCCACCTGTGATGTGAAGAGGGCCACATAAATGTTGTGTCATTCGCTTCAAACACGCAACTATTACTCAAAGCGGCCAGCGGAGGTTGGTTTATCACTCACTCTTGGCAGCGCACCTCTTCCGGTTTTGTCTCTAACGAATTATTCGGCAGTGTTGTTCTAAAATGGACAATGAATAATCCGCCAAGGACAACGTCCCCATCCTTCATTAATCCCCGAGTGATGAACTTATCTTGAGGTCTACAGGATGGTTCACCTCCAGAACTCCCTTCTTCGAAAAATATTAGCAACAAAATTCCCAATATAGTATTAAAATGCATCGTAAAATCCACTTAAATACTGTCTAACGATCGCTTGAAATAATTTCTTATGTCTTTACTCCGCAATAAAAAGATATATATGTGTGCATGATGGGATTGGAATATACAGGCATCTCACCATTGTCACCCAGAGAGTCATGGTAGATTAACTCCACTGCTCTTGGAAAATAATTACATTAGGGATTTTTCCCCCAATGCCCGTAGCTAATATGATTATACTGGGAGCTTAGTCAATTATTATTCTTTGAAGAATAGATTCAGGCTATTATTATGGTCGACACAGAATGAATTTATACAACTCTGTGGAAAATGCTGAGCATCCTTTGATTAAATTGAAATGAAAAGCAATTTGAGAGGCCGTTTTCCTAACTTTCCAAGGGCGATTATGTTTGACTTTCTTTTCATAGAATTCCTACAGTGTGGAAAAAGTCCCTTCGGCCCAACAAGTCCACAATGACCCTCAGAGCATCCCACCCAGACCCATCCCCCTATAACTCACCTAATCCACACATTCCTGAACACTATGGGCAATTTCGCATGGCCAATCGACCTAGCCTGCACATCTATGGGAGGAAACCCATGCAGACACGGGGAGAATGTGCAAACTCCACACAGATAGTCGCCCGAGAGTGGAATCGAACCGAGGACCCTGGTATTGCAAGGCAGCAGTGCTAATCACTGGGCCACCTATTTTCATTTACGCAACTTCTAATTACGTTGATTTCCTTTCATGATATCTTACAGTACAGACGAACAAAATTCTGTCCGTTGTAAACCGTTCGGCTCTCTGAACCCACAGTCAGAACACATTCCCATGCCCTCTCCCCTTGACAATACAGCTATACAATACAATCCGTATTTAACTCCGTATTCAGTTCATTTTTAGAAAGGTACCATTGAATCGCCTTGTAGAAAACCATTTAGAAAATATGTTCCAAACCATAATGACCAGATGAGTAAAGACGAAAAACAAGCACCACTCTACCACAAGGCGTTCTTATCAAAGACGTTGCAACTGTGTTCTTGGGTTGCTGAAACTCCTACCAATACATAGATTATTCCTGCTTATTTCCCCGAATCTCACTCACAATTTTTGCCTTCGTTCTTAAAAGTTGGCCTGAAGAGTAATGGCTCTCAAAGTAACCAGCTTCTCCAGCCTCTGCAAATAACTAAGACCCCATATGTTGTATTAATCTGTTTAATGTTCGCTACAACTTTGACAAGATATCGTCATCGTTAAAGTGTGAGGTGCATGTGATTTTAAACGATACCCCAATTGTGGTGGAATTCTTTTTTTTTAACTCATTCTTGGGACGTGGGTGTTGCTTGCTGTCCTGCATTTATTTCCCATTCCTACTAACCCTTGAGGAGGTGGTGGTGAACAGCCTTCTTAAATTACTGCAGTCCATGTGCTCAAGGTAGACCTACAATACTCTGAGAGTGGGAATTCCAGGATTTTGGCTCAGCGACAGTGACAGAACGGTGATATATTTCAAAGTCAATATAATGTGTGGCTTGGAGGGAGCTTGCCATGTGCTGGTGTTCCCATTTATCTGCTGCCCTTGTCCTGCTGGGTGGTAGTAGTTGTGGGTTTGGAAGATGCAAAGGATCTTTAGTGAATTTTTGCAGTGCATCTTGTAGATAGTACATACTGCTGGCTGCTGAGCATCAGTAGTGAAGGGAATGGATGCTTGTGAATGTGGTACCAATTAAGCAGGCTGCTTTGTCCTGGATAGTGTCAACATTCTTAAATGTTGTTGGAGCTGCACCCATGCATGCAAGTGGGGAGTATTCCATCATACTCCTGACCTTTGCTTTGTAGATGGTGGACAGTGTTTGGGGAGTCAGGGAGACAGTTACCCACCTCTGACCTACTCTTGAAGACATTGTATTTGTATAGCGAGTCCTGTTGGGTCTTTGGTCAACAGTAATCCCCAGGATGTTGACGTGGGGGCTTCAGTGATGATAAAACCATTGAATGTCAAGGGTGTTGGTTAGAGTGTCTCTTATTGGAGATGGCCATTATCTAGCATTTATGTAGCGTGAATGCAACTTACCACTTATCAGCGCAAGCCTGGATATTGTCACATCTTAGTGCAGTTGAACATAGACTGCTTCAGCAACTAAGGAACTGGGAATGATGCTGAACATAACAGTCATTGGTTAACATCCCCACTTTTGACCTTATGAGGAAGGGATGGTCGTTGATGAAGCAGATGAATATGGTTGGGCGAGGACAGTGCCCTGAGTAACTCCTGCAGAGATGTTCTGGAGTTGGTGTTATTGTCCTTCAAGAAACGCAACCATCTTCCTAT